TGTATTTTGAACGTTTTGTCATTGACATATTTGTTGATGAAAAGTGTTTCATTTGAGAGTTCATTGATGGCACGTATCTAATTGTGAATAAGCACCCACTCCGCAGTCGAAATCAGTGGATGTTGAAAACCAATTCCTAAGAAATGTAATACGAGGCAAGAGACGCAGCCGCTAAAAAAACCACCGAGTTTCAGAAAATGTCTAATACAGAATTTATAACACTATTATTAAAAACTTCAGTGGATGATAAAATCAATGTCAAGGTCAACAAGCCGCTCTATACCTCGACAAGGCCGACACAAAATTTCTACTTAATCCAACCTTCGATAATTCCCCCTTCGAATCAAAGGCCTTAAAATGCGTTGAGAATTAACATATAGACCCAGTTTTTCTCAAACCTAACACGCTCATTCTCAGGCCAATCTGTCTGCCGTCTGAAACGGTTAGAACACCGTCGAAGTGTGTCATATTCTGATCAAATTTTACAATTACATTTGATCTACCACTAGTGTGTGTCTGTGTGATCCATGTCGTGCATCGTGGTATCTAATTAAGACGAGGCGTATATAATTCGCAACATATGCGATTACGCGCGTACAAGGCCCTAGATGGCGGTGACTTGCCAACTGATTAATTGAGCCAGGATTGGACACGGAGTAACTTTGGTGATGTTGAGCGATGGGTGAGGAAGGACTACTGATTGGCTCGCAGAGACATGAAAGATAAAGAACATGAAAGAGATGAACGAAATTGCCTTCGTTCGTAAGCGCTTATCATGCAATTTGATATCGGAGTCGAAGGAATCTTTTTTTTATAGTGATTTTTGATAATGATTTTGTAACAGATCCCTCTTCGATATTTCTCTTTACCAAAGAATTAAGGTATGTAGTATAATGATAATAATAAATAGAATAATAATAATAATTACCGATAATTTGTCATTTGGGCGACATTCCCATAGACTTGTGCACAAAAAAAAATCCAACTTAAATGCCACTTAACCCCAATTTCACCTGATCATATCCCCACGAATTTTGGTATAACATTTTGCTTATAAATAGAGGTTGAGGCATAAGGGAGACATTGAAATGTCTCCCTAATTCCACGTCTCCCAAAGGTATAACTTATGGCGCTAAATTGTCTCCCAAAGTTTGTACTTGTAATGTGGTGCTTATAATTATAGCGCTTTATACCAAAGGCCTCAGAGCGCTTCACAATTATTACCCCTGTTCATCAGGCCATGATACCAGTTTTTGCAGCAGCTCGAGATCAGCATAATCTGGTCTCTATCTTCACATGTATACCCATTTATACGCCTGGGTGAAGAGAGTAATACATCCTTATACCATTATAAGTTTTGAATTGGAAAAATACCGGAGTTTTATATAACGTACGTATATCTACCAACAATTAGGTACTCAAGGCGTTGGTAATTATGTATTTTTTTTTAAAGACAGATAAATGAAGTTTATGAGAAATATGAGAAATATGAGACCCATTATGTAGCACCTTTATAAGGGTTTACAAGGGGTGCTGTGGTCCAATGGTTACGGTGTTCGACTCGTGTGCCGTGGTACGTGGGTTCGAATCCTGACTGGACATGGTGCTTGTGCTCTTGAGCAAGGCACTTTACCATTATTGCTTCGTCCTTCGGATGGGACGTAAAGCCTGCAGGACCCGTGTGTTGTGTAATGCACGTTAAAGAACCCAGTAACACTTATCGTTATAGAGAAGGGTTTGCCCCGATGTTTCTGGCACGGTGGCTGCAATATGCGCTGTGCTTGTAAAGCCTTATAAAGGTGCTACATAATGGGTCACATATTTTTCATAAACATCATTTACCTGTCTTTAAAAATAGACATAATTACCAGCGCCTTGAGTACCAAATTGTTGGTAGATACGTGCGCTATATAAAACTCCAGTATTATTATTATTCACATCAAAGCGCTGGATCATGCCACAAGAAAATAGAAATTTATTCTCTTATTTTTTTAAATTTTATAAATAACTATTGGGTCAGCAATTCGGTAGATAATTATGCGCTCTATAATCATGACGATCGGGGTAATAACGATGGCCGCGAAGGTCGGCCAGTGTTTTCATGATAATTGTTTTCAAAATCTCTCAGCAACAACCAAACACACAGACGGGACGAGGGACGAACGGACTTGCCTGCGTATCCGCGTCCTCAGCAGAGGCCGGCTCCATCACCAGGCGATAGCCTGGCAGCACGGCCGGGTTTGAATTGACGTGCCTCAGGCCGATCTCCACAGCGGGCCGCTGCCCCTGGCCTCCGGCCCAAGACCCTGACATCGGGAACAGAGTCAAGATGTACAGATCCGTCACATTCGTCCCTTCCGCGGCTCCAGAAATAAACAACCACAGAATAGCCACAAAAGCGCTCACTAAGATCCATCCTCGCTCCATCCTGTACAGTTTCTGAATCAACGAAAGCTAGTTCGGTATAAGTCAGAAGGCTGATACAGAGAAGAGCAGTTAGCGTGATTTACGAGGTCGTAATCAATATTGGGGCAGCATCATCTAGGAGCAATAACAAGCAGCATAGTTTCAAGTCTGTAAATAGCACGGACGATCTTTTATATATGCAAGCTTACGACCAACAGGTCCGAACGGCAATGTGCAATAACGAATACAGTGCGAAGATCGCATGCGCGAAGCAGTTGCAAGAATATATAAAAAAAAAAGGTAATATGTGAATGCAAATTTGAGTCTGTGTACTGCTAGAAATTACTTGGTTTTAAAAGAGGAAATATTTTTAAATACAAGCCACCGACGAACATGAGTTCAGTCCCGACATATTAAGTTTGAGGGCTTAGATTTGAACACTTTTAAAAGCAGATTTTACTTTCCGGGTGGAATTTCATGTGTCCAATATATAGATACATTTGCAGATTGAAGTTTTGCGGATCGCAGTTACACTGCAAAAACTGCAGTGTTAAATTTACACCATTCGTATCTATATAGGACCATCTGGTGTTAAATTTTACTTGTGTTGTCCTATATAGATACCGAATGGTGTTAAATTAACACTACAGTTTTTGCAGTGTATACTCAAATCAGAAATTAATGTTCTTCTGATGACGCACTATACCACTGCATGTATCTGGTTTGTGTTATCTATATGAAGAATAATGGCAAAGCTCAATATGTATAAACCTTACTGCAAATTCAACATCGTAACCCATAATTTGAAAACATGGCTAAAGTCACAACAGCTTCCATGTGGTTTGGTGCTAACCACGCCCCTTTTTGTGTGGCCTATGTCAAAAAATGTACTGGAAACAGTTTCAAATTTCGTGTCCTGATAAAATTTGTTGTACGTTATATATTGTAAATCTCAGTTCGGTGCCTTGGTCATTGTGTGTTGACTTAAAACCTCAGCCGACGCCCACTACCGGATTTTCATAGGACGCATCTGTCTTGGTTCAGAAGTAGATTAAGTACATTCTTAGGTTTTGCCCTTCACCGACGTATCAACACTGAATACTCAGTGTGTTAACCCCCCCCCCCCCTCCTCCGAGTGAAAGTGAGGACAAAATCACTCGGTGGATCGAACTCGAACCTACGACCTCCTGCTTTCCAGTGCAGACGTCTTACCACTCGACCACCATCGACGTCTGCACTAGGAAGGAGAAGGTCGTAGGTTCGAGTCCCAGTCCCACCCGAGTGATATTTTTCGCCACACTTTCACTCGGGGGGGGGGGGGGGGTGGACAAACTGAGTATCCTACAGCGTTTATACGTCGAAAAAAAGGCAAATCTTATTCATTTACATCACCGTCCGACCCGGCGACGAAAAAATCCATGTAATGATTAGATACGCGTTTAGAAATCGGAAGTCCCCTCCCGCTTTTCAAAACTACAAATTTATTGCTTCAAGATGATGCACATTTGACTTTTTTGTGGATTCTAACAGGTTTTTTTGTTTTTTTTGGGGGGGGGGACTTTAGTTACAAGGCCTTTAGACTCCAATCTTCAAACAACCGTGAGCGTGAGAGATCTCAAGTTGCGTGTTACAAATGTGTTGTATGCACACAGCCACCAGGCAATTAGACAGTTTCTTCTCTGCAATGTGGCGCACCAACATCGTCGCTGTTTTGCTAGTGCCAAAAAAAGAAAGAAACAGAAGCAGAAAGAAAAATCGATAACTGTCTAATGACTTGCAGTTGCCGTATGATTGCCCACCAAATGTCCTTGCAGAGGGAACCGTCACGCATATATTGCGCTTGTTGTGCTCTATTAGTATCAAATATGATGAACAGTAGACTTGGCAGGGCGGGAATTGAAGAAACACAGCCGTTGAATGTCAAGGGCATTTGGTTGTTTTTCTTCAGTTACTTGGCGAATACGGAAAAATGAGAGATTGTGCTCGGCACTCTATGTCAATAAACCTAGGGGGGCGGAGGGGAAGGGGTAACTGTCAATGGGGGACCAGCACGTGCTACATTTTTCCTTGGGGCGGGGGGGGGGGGGGTTGTTGACAGCCTACAAAAAAGCAATGATTATGCCGGTATCGATTTAACTGCATGCCCGTTCACGTCACATCAGGGACGTACTTCACTATAAGTCCGATTAAAACTGACAATCGAGTTTTGGGAATCGATAAAATGTCATCAACCTAATTTTTGGATCAGTTATTTCTAGACCAAAATTTTGCTAATGATATTCTAGCGCGACATGACATGAGGAAATTTAACGTCGGTTGAACACCGTCGTTGCCACAGTAACGTAAAGCCACTTGGATATTTATTGGCCATGAATTTCAGTGATAGCGCCACCATTCTGTCCGCCTACGTCTGGCTTTTTACATACAGCAAGAAAATGCATGAGGAACAAAAGACTGGGGAAAGTCTAAGTCACGGTTGAAGCTTAGGGAGACGTCCACATGCTCTGGATTCCTGTCCTGAACATTTGACCAATCAGCGACGGTGCTCACGCGGTTTTGTTGACATGAGCGATCCCTGTTTGTTGCGTGAGGGGTAAACAATGATGGCGGGGTTTTCAATGGACGGTCATTCAGTGTGTTCGGTCAGACATGTTCGATGTTTGTGAATGTCTGTCTGCTTCGTGGGTTCACAACTTTGCATGCCTGGATCGATTTACTGCGACCTCGTCGATTGGTCACTGTGCTGAAAAACATAATGAGGAACTAGGCCTATGCTAGAAATTAGAATTGGATTTTGGAAAGCTGTCGTTTTAATGACAAATGACAATGACATGGGATGGACCTGTGAGCTGTGGACGGTTGAATGACGACAAACACCATCATTAGCATCAGACCATCAGACCTTGGCTTTGGATTTGCGCATCTAAAAACACACACAAAAACTGCCCTTCCATCCAGAGGAGAGCGCTGTGGCTTGATGGGTTAACCTGTTGACTACCATGAATCCGCGCTGCGCTGTGAGTGTGAGAATTTATTGTTAGTTTTAGTAATAGTATCCTCTTTTTAATTTGTTCTTTTTAATAAGCAGTTTCACCATGTTCACGGTAATATGCGCTGTCTTGTTCGCGGGGCAAAAAGAGCATGCGTTGCTAGACGCAGGCGCATTTTGGAATGACCGCATGATGACTTGGAAGCGCCAAAGTTTTCCATTGATGATGCGTACACAGCAACGCCTGGAAAATTGCCCTGTCGGCAAGATGGCGTATATTACCGTGAAACACCTCATTGTAAACATGTTAAATTAATCATGTTTATTGGTAATCGAGTAGTTTAGGACCCCGTTCCATATGTTTTTGGACTACCTAGTCCTAAATAGTTACCAGCAGGAAAACTCATTTTATATTTTTGAGTTCGCTAAGTGAAATACCATGATATAGGCCTATATCAGCAGGCTTAATTTTGTAGAAAGACATGAGAGAGGGCAGGCTTTTTATTTCATGTTTATGAGGAAAATCATAGGTGGTGTGACTCGCACGTCTCTTGGTGCTAAAACAGGTAAGAAAGTCTCATTTTACAAAATTACAAAACCTATAGTAAATAAAAAATGTTTGGGGCTGCAAAAATTATTTTGAAAAATTTGACAGTTGCAATTTTAAGCCATTTTTGAAAAAAAAACAAGCAAAAAAAGGGAGGTGTCCTAAACTACACGATTACTGTTTTATTAATGATTTTCTTTGTACACTAATGTTTTTTAATCAAAAATCTCTTTCTTTATTGAAGTAGATTTCATTTTTTTCTAAGTGATCCATGGCTTTGGAGAATTATTTTTTTAAGGGGAAACAAAGTCCAAGAACCATTCGGTTGATAGTCTGGATCCAAGAGCCAAAGATCCTGTTGTTTAATATTTTCAGGTCAGGGAACCAGACAGTAGACTGCCATAACAATAGCCACTTGATAAGTTAAATTTCAATAGGCCTAGGCAGTATTCTCCCCCCCTCTAAAAAAAATTGTTGTTTAAAAAAGGGGTGTTTGCATGTAAGTATGCAAATAATATTTCGTTTACTTCCTCTTTGATGAATGTGAATGTTTTGTTATGTTTGCTTGAAAGGTTTAGCGTGTACCCACCCAGGTGTGTTAGTTGGCAGTTTTGTCGGCTTTTGTTCATTTGCACGGTTGCCCATTCACTTGGCAACAAAAGATATTTCTGTGAATCATAATCCTGAACCGACGCTAGTAGGTGCACGCCTCATGCGTCACATTGCTCACTGTTAAACCTGTAGATATAGCCAGACAGTTTTGTTGATGTTTCTATTTATAGAAACAGGATACAAAATGTTCTCACAGCTTTTCGCAAGTAGAGGAATTTTTATCCCTTAGACATTAAATGTCTCCTCATGAGAGTGGTGAAGATTTGTTTGCAAGTTTTGAGTTGAGTTCCTACGTGGGACATCGTTCCTGGTTACATATTGTTTTCTCACCTGTGTGTTTAGTAAGTTCCTTTTAGTTATTGTACTACTTTGCTTAGGCTAAAAAATAACTAGTTCTGCTTCCGATTACATGGCATTTGAAAATAGGGTAGGTAGGTAGGGAACATTTTTGGTTGGCAATTTTTGTGTGTGTACGATCATATGGAGGTGCGTGTAGTCAAGGGTAAAAGGTAGAAATTTATGATTTTCAGGGTTTTTTTCCTCGTGTTTCCCCCCAAAAAATTAGGGTATAGGGGCTGTCAAAATAGGGTAGGTAGGGTAACCGGAAGCAGAACTATTATTATTATTTTGTTTTTGCATTATGTACAGCACTGTCAACAAAGGTTTTAGACAAACATGTGGAGTTGTTACATACTCAACTCATTTGAACTTGTAAACTCTGAAATGGTTTCAATGTTTTTAGCTGCGGGATAGCAGCTCAACGAATTATCATGTCTCTCCATTGTGAGTTAGTTAATTAGTAACAAACGTTGTCATTGTCTATTGCTCCTACATATTTTGACTGATTTCAACCAAACTTTGTCAAAAGTATCAGTAGCCCAGCCCCAACATGTCACATGACCAAACTGGGGTCAAAGGTCATCATGGGGTGACTGGGGTCAAAAATCTGATTTTTTTTTATTCAAAACACTTTTCCTTCCAGAAAATTACATGTACATGCATGAACACAGATTTGTTGGCCCGCAGCTTCCAAGATATTCCGATCCCGCTGGTTCGCTTATACATGTACAGTACTGTCAACAAATGTTTTAGACTTAAAAACATGTGGAGTTGTAACGCAACTCATTTGGATTTGTAAAGTTTTGAATGGTTTCAACGTTTTTTTCTTCCTTTTAATCAAGTGCATTAGGATACCCATCTTACCATGATCACCGTTTGTGTTGAAGCCCACTGCTTTTTCGGTAGACTTGCTGGCTAGCAACTGGATATGTACAAGGGACATCAGGGAAGATTCTGTATGGGTGAGTATTTTGCTGGAAGCCCCAGTAATTTGCGTATTTTGCATCCAAAGTGTGACATTTTTTCCTGTTACCTCAGTACTTGGTAATTTTCCACTCAAATATCATTAAAAGGTAATACAACAATAAAATTGTGCTGTAATTTACAGAGATTTGGGGGTTAGTATTTTTATAGCAAATATTGTTGCACTGACCTGTTTAAAGCTTTGTGTTCATAGATGCTGGAAAAACCAAGAAAATGCTGTTTTTGTAGTCTGGTTCCCTGACCCTACTTTGGACAAAACGGAGCACTTTATAGACGTCTCGGAATTGTCAGGTCAGGGAATCAGACTAGCTGGCTTGCATCCGTTCACGGATGTGTAACCGATTGCAAACAAAATGTTGGCTAACTAAATTTGGTAAATTGGGGACAGGATTTGAAGAAAAAAAAAATCTGGTTTTTTCCTAACGATGGTCGGCCGAGCATTGTTGGAAATTGATACAAAAATTCCACTCTTCTTAAAAATGACAGCACACCAGGTGCCATGATTTCAGAGGATGCTTGAGACAATTATTCACTTACATTTACAGTCAAGTAAGGCGTTTAATAATAATATGTAGATGTTTTTTGATTTTGCAAATTACATGTATATTGTATATTCCTTTAACAATACATTGAGTACCCCTCCTTCAAATGAGGGTCCCCCAAGTGCCACTATGCAAATTAACCCCAAGTTATGCAAATTTGTATACTCTGCGCTTGACGAATATTTGTGATTTGCAAATTTGAACTGGCACCCGGACTCCCCTGACAGTGTGGCGCTGTGCATGTTAAGCCCCTTCCTGCGTCTGTTCCGTAGGGAGCTCTGACTCATATGACAAGTCATCCGAAAGTTTCTTGCCGGCAGGCTATATTTGGCTTGCCCAATCGGTAGGAAAATACCGTTTCCTGTCGAAGGCTTATTGGGGGAAAAAAAATGGGAAAAAAGGCTAGATATATGTAGTTTTTAATATTGTGAAATCTTGAATGCATACATGTACATTGACTGGCATGTATGATACCATGTTGCGTATAAATTTGTCTGCCAGCTAAACAGGGGCCGTTTCTTAAGTCCGACGCCTCATAGGTCCGACACCTCATAATCCTGAAATTTTGGACTTATGAGGCATCGGACTTATGAGGTATAAATTCCGCCTCATAGGTCCGACGCCTCATAAGTCCCACGCCACATAAGTCCGACAATGGACAAACGCTGTTTCGGACTTATGAGGCGTCAAAGGTTTGAGGCGTCAGACTTATGCGGTGTCAGACCTATGAGGCGGAATAAATAAACTGTATGCTTCATAAGTCCGACGCCTCAGAAGTCGGACGCCTCATAAGTCCGAAATGCTTTTAGTAAATAACATTAAAAAAGTTCTAAGGTTCAAGGAGCGTTAAACACCTTGGAGGTTAATAGTGGTTAGACACTACCTTCCTGAAATTTGAAAAATTCCTCCCAAGTTTCCTAGTGCATTTTTTCAGCATCTGGAGCTGGGTTGACCCCATGTAAAACTTTTACCCTAGTGAATATTTCTGCCATCTATAATAATTTCTGCCTGTTCTGAGAATATTAGCAAGTTATTTCGACGCATGAATATTAATTTGTCAGGAATCCCGACTCCGCGATTAATCTTGATTAACCATGAGTTGCCAGCGATCGGTGACGACAAGCGTTTCCTGTGCGTTGATTATCACCCCTCAATATGTTCCACGTCAGAGTCAAGGATGTCGCCTACATGTGCGCGGTTTCTTTGTGGAAACCGGACTCCGCAGTTAGTCATAATGCGGATTAATGAACCCCCGTTCTACTTTTTTTTTTCTCAAGTGACTCAAATGAACCCCAGTTCCATAAAGTTTGCCAAGACCTAACGGTTGGATCACTTCCAGTGAAGGCGATACAGTAGCTCAGTGCTGAGTACTGTTGACCAGAAATTTGTTCGGGAGCCTGTGGATTGTTTTCTTCTTCGTGGAACCTGTTGGAATATTTTGTCTTGGTTTGCATAACTGATTACTTTTGCTTGTTCCGTTTAAATCTGTTTGCAGTTACGACTTTTCGATTTTGAAGTGGACTACAACTGACAGAAGTACCATTTCACTCACAGGTAAGTAGATTTTGTATTTTTACAGTAGTACTGGCCAAGTAACCCGAGTACTTCAGCAATCCCGAGTAGTGTTTGCTACTCGGGACAATCCCAGGGTAGGGGACAGGAAGGGCTTACTTGACCTCAATGTCCCTCAGTGACCTGGGAACTATGAACTTTTTTTTAACCTGAATTCAGGTTTTTTTTGTTAAAAATGTGACAAATTGAAAGTTCTGGATTTGGTCTGAAATATCCAGAAAACACATTTTTGAAAGGGGGGTGAGGATAGTTTCAGGTTTTGTAGTAGTGTTTCAGGCTTTTTATGATTGGTGGCATCTCTGATTGAGGTTGTGTTGTGACAATTTTGAATGAAAACAAAAAGGAAAAAAAAAAAAATAAATTAAGATTAGGCCCCCCCCCCAAAAGTCTCCGGTTTCTGGTATGCGCGCACGTCGCCGTAGCCATGCGCGTCGGCAAAATGAAAAAGTTTTTTTTTCAATGAAAGATGATGTCTCAAAACCGCCAAACTCACTGGTTTGACTGGAATCCTGCTGCTGCTGCACAATTTTAACGTGTTTTTTTTTATTGAGTTATGGTCGAGAATAAGCTTTATGTGGCCTCTCTGGACTCCCATATATTTGCACTAAGTTTAGTCGGGCATCATTTGCAGTCATCAGCCGACATTTGAAGCAAAAAAATCAGGTAAAAAAAAAAAAAAAGGCGCGTTGCCGCACCACTTTTTGGGCAAGCTCCATACCAGAAACCTGAGACTTTTTTTTTTTGGCCTTGGGCAATTTCGTCAGAATATGTCCCCCTCCCAATTCACTGGATATGTTACTGGCTAGTAAAACACTGCCACTGATAATGGCAAATTCATTGTTAATTTAATTCACACCTGTTTTGTCCGTCACATATTGTATATTTGATTGAATAATTTGCCAAATCATTAGGGACTGACCATAGCTCCCAGGTCAATCAGGGACATTGAGGTCAAGTAAGCCCTTCCTGTCCCCTACCCTGGGATTATCCCAGGAATTATGTCAGACTATGGACATGGAGATTATGGAGGTTGTCAATTTTTAAAAAACAAATTTGGTATTTTTTTTTTTTTAGTCCCACGATTTGGCCGTGGTGATATGAATGTGGCCTGTTTTCGAGTAGTATAATAGGGGTGTAAGTGGCGCCACCAACGTCAAAATAGGCCGCCCTTCCAAAAAATAACCCAATTTTTTTTCTGCGGCCAAAAATTGTGGCCAAAATTGTGCGCACAAAAAAAATCAACTTTTAACAAATTAATTTTTTTTTTTGGAGCCCCCCTTTAAAACCACATCTTGCGTGCGCCACTGCGATTGTGTTATCTTCAACAGGCAATTAAACATTGTACAATATACCTCTGTGTTTGTTCAGCAGGCCAATTCACAGCGTGAGCAAGGTCCATTGACATTGCCAATATGTGTTGATATTTGGACCAGGAAGCTATGGACGCCGGCAAAATGGATCGAGTTACACCTGATGAATTTAATTCAGGTACGTTCAATCAATTTGTTTAAATTATTTATGAGGTCCGTAATCAACACCCTCTGTTTACAACTTGTGGCAAAGATATACAATTGTCATTATGGCACTCTATCACTCAGTTGTTTCACCGTAACTGATGATGCCCTGGTCTGGATGTCTACCCTTGGCCTAAAACCGTAGGCTGTGCACGCCAGACGAAAGAACTAGAAGTCTCAGTTGTCGCTTTTTGGTTTACGTTTAGGGCTGCAAAAGTAAACAGGCAAGATTTAGAAAATGTACAAAAGTTGATGTAATTGCTTGTTAAAACATGGAGGATTAGTTACGAAAGGCTTGGATGATAGGTCGGGTAGATGGAGCAATTAATTGGGAGCAGGGAGCCCCCCCCCCCCCCCCGAGGCGACCTCCACACCCCAAAGCCCCGCCCCCTACAATTGTACCTGTCTTGACCCCACTAGCCTGTTTAAAGAATGGCAGACACAATAGAGGGCGCTGTTTGAAAAATCGGCTACCTCGTTTTTTATTTACCCGAATTGCACGCTTCAAATAGCTCTATGGGCTCCATGCACCACCTAAAGAGGGCGCTTTTTAACCACTTTTGAGAGCCCTGTGGACAAGACGCACAGCGTGTGCGTACTGTACTGTACTGGTTCGCGTGCGAAGTATGCACGACTTCCTGAATGTGCCACAGCTATTAGCCATAGCATCTTCGCGTGAGCGTCAGGCGTCGTCATCTCGCGAATGCATTCAAATTTATCTTGAGATAGTCTCCCAGACTACATGTAATCCCCGCCCCCAATAACTTTGGATCATTCGAAATACGCAGTGGATGGACAGGGAACCAGTTTATGTCTCACCCGGCCAACTGTCCTTTTCTAGCCGTTGAAGGGGTACTATGTGCACAGAGCCCATATACTAGTGTGTCTGTCATACTTCAAAAAGGCTAATAAAGGTTATGTACTAGAAGTATGGAGTGTGTGGCCTAGTGGTTAGGGTTTGTGACTCATGATCAGAGGGTCCGGGGTTCGAATCCAGCCGCTGGTCATATATTGTGTCCTTGGGCAAGGCACTTCACCTCCACTTGCCCCTCTCCACCCAGAAGTATTAATGGGTACCGGCATTAGCTGGGGAGTAACCCACGATGGACTAGCATCCCATCCAGGGGGAGTAGAAATATTCTCAGTCGTTTCATGCTACTGAAACCGGAGATAGACGCCGGCCTGATGAGCCACATTGGCTCGGGACAGACTTTACTTACTAGAAGTATGGAGGAATATAAATAAGGGAAGAATGCTGTGTTTTGACATTGGGTATAGTGTGTTAAGATTTGAGGTGGACATGTGCATACATGTAATTGTGACGGACAGGTTAAGCCGCGTGGATTTACACGAAAGTGTGTCACACCAACACTGCAGGCAAGAAGTGACTAATAAGTGCAAGGTGGTGTAGCCAGCCAGGCATAATCTTGCTCTGTGGATAGGGTAACTTCTTCACAGTTAGGCCAAGTAAAAAAAAAAGTATTTTTCGTCCGGATTTTTGTTAAAAGGAAGGGAGCAACCTTTTTTCCCCCGCAAGATGGCAGACTTTCCAAGATGGCATCATGGCAGATGGTTCTTCCATTTCGTGACCCTTTTTGCTGATACTTAATTGAGTCCAAAGTGCGCACTCACATTTTTCCATTATTTACATTTTGAATTCGCATACATATCTTCATGTATAATTTTGCTGGAAACAAATAAACAAACAAAATATATACTGTACATGTATGATTAAAAAGAAAAGGAAAAAACAGAAGCCGGGTTGGAAAAAGGAAGTGGGCGGGCACGAGAAACTGGTTTATTTTTATACTTGGCCTTATGTTCAAGGCTGGTGGATTACCAAGCCATCACTAGTGTCAGTGAGGAAAATAATTTGTGATTCTCAAGGATTTACAGAGGCGACGTCCTGTATTCTGCAAGATGTAAATTTTTTGGTCAACATTAGGGGAAAGGGATTCAGAGATTCTTTTATTTAAAAGGACATCAAATAATCTGGTGTCTTTATTTTGCATTTTTGCATATGACAAGGTAAGCTATGTAAGTCATGCTTTTCCTCCAATCAGGCTGATTTCCTCATTTTTTACTTCTCATGATATGCATTACAAATTGAGAAAACACTGTACAAAGTCTTATGTGGTTTGGAATTTCCTTGTTTTTTTTCTTCTTCTAAATTCCCAGTTGCATGCCTGTATGATGCAGTTTTATTTCTCTGAAATTTGGTGACTCATAAGTGTGAAAATTCAAAGAAAAAAAAAGTCTCTGGAAATAAAAAATTATTAAAGCCCTCATTCAAAATCCACTAAAAGTACTTAAAGTCCAGCGGACAAGTGACAAAATTGTGCAATTTTTCATAAAAGTGTGAAACTTGGAACAGATGTTTATATTCATTAACATTTTCTCGCACGAATATAAACATCTGTGCCAAATTTCACGCTTTTATAAAAAAGTGCCACTAAAAGTACTTATAGTCCAGCGGACAAGTGACAAATTATGCAATTTTTCATAAAAGTGTGAAACTTGGCACAGATGTTTATATTCATGAACATTTTCTCGCATGAATATGAACATCTGTGCCAAATTTTACGCTTTTATAAAAAAGTGCACAATTCATCGATATTTTGTCACATATCCGCAGACTATTAGGATTACCAGCAAATTCAGGAGCCCAGTGAATGCGCATGAGGAAACATTTCAGGTTGATAATTATCCAATCATCCTAGAAAACCAGTTTATTCTGAGCAAATAAATACACAATGTCTTTATCCTGTGATGACAAGTAAATAAAGTGCGACCTACTTGTCTACATATCCCTTGAAGGTTTTGTGATGTCCCCAGGGTGTGAGCATTCCAGTTTGAGGTCTTGTAAAGAGTCTACAGACCCATGGCCTTTTGGTGTCAAGTTCCCAACCCTTGGATATCAACTCATGTCTAGACTTCATTCCAGGCTCTTTTGCCTTTTCTATGTGTGAGGCTAGTCTATGGAATATCCTTTTGGTTTATGATATGCAAGCAGATTTGGTGATTATTTTAGGAAACTATATAAACTGCGTCTTTACCTTGAGATTCTGACTAGTCACACACACTGCAGCGGGCGCCTTCTATATTGGGCCCTTTTATTTGACTAAGTCAGCTTTAATCTAGTTCTCCAGGTGAATATTTGTCAACTTCAAATGTTTGGGGGGCCAGTATCGACTGTCCACTCTCAAACGATATTGTGTATACAAAAGCCAATATATTATGGTTTAAGCAAGAATTAGGTGAGAACCAGTGACAACTTAGCAGTATACATGTACAAATTTTTTGGGCTGGTAATCAGATTTTGCTAAGCAAACATGATTTGGTACTAAGCAAATTCTGTGCTGACTGCTGAGCAGTTTTGACAACAGATCTATTTCATCCTTCACACTGGATTTTAATGTGTTTGATACTTTGGATTTAGCACCTTGAATCAAGACTAACTACTACCTCCACTCTGCCAGTCTGGCGCTCCTCAACAAAATTCCTTTGGCTTAAGCCTGAGGTCACACGTAGTGATGTCTAGCTTGGGAGCCAGTGCCCATTTGATCACTGTAGTTATGTCACGAGTGACAAACATGTGGCTTCTTGACTGAGTTGTCTGGATTTGCTGCTAGCGCTTGGTTCCTGAAATCAGATTTTGGGCCAGCGGGGTTCCAGCTACTGAAAGTCAAGTTTCTAAAGATACATTTTTCATGTTTCATGCTGCATTATAAAGAGGGATTAGTCTCTTAATACTGACAGTACTAGCTGGAGTGGTGAACAGTACTTTCAATTTGTTGGATTTTGGACCAAAACATAGTGTGGAGTAAGGTTGTTCCTCTTTTGGATTATGATGTGGACTGTCAGACTGCTTGTAGACTGCCTTGTAATTGTATTTGGACCAGGACCAGACAAAGTGAGTAGATGTCAGTTTTGTGGAATGTGAAGCTTGAGTTTTCTGTTGTGTACATGATGATGTATACATTTTTAAAAAATTGTTACATGTGATATGTGTCACACACAAGTTTTACAACTATACAAGAAACTGATATGGATTAATGTGTCAAAAGTTTAAATCCAACAGATGGTTTTCCACTACTTTTATTAATTTTACAGGCCAGGTTGTTTAAAATATAGGGCTTGATCTGTTGATCAGGTGTTGATCATTTCTTACTTTGGCTGAAATTGTTTACATTTTCCAAAGGTATGTTTCCAAAGGTTCATACCTTGTTGTCATGCCATGGTCATACATATGTGGTAGTTTGGATGTTGAGGTGTTGGGGGGGGGGGGGGGGGGTGGATTGGACATGAAGGTGTGAACTTGTGAATTGGATTTTATTCTGCAAATTACATGCATGTTGAATTATGAGAATTTATTTGATAAAACTGGTTTATTTGCTGATTCAAAGAAAAAATGTCAACTTGTAGTTGTACAAATTCAAACACTTTATAGGTTTTTCTGTTTTACGAACATTTCTGTAGTTCAGATAAAAATATTAAAGTTGTCATTTTAATGAATATATTGACATGCGCTTAGCTTGAGGCTGAGTTGTTCGGGAAATTGATGTAAAATTGCTGCTTTTGGTTATTAAGATAATGATCAAGGCAAACAAATTCCTGTATGATATGAACCCGTTATGACCAACATGTGTTTACCATGGCATGCATGGAGGTATACAGCTACCTCCATGGGTTTACCATGGATTGTACATGACTGTAGGCCTACGCCAGCTTGTTTGTGTACGTTATAATGCACGCCACTGTACTAAACAGCTTTGTGGCCTACTCTGAGATAAACATAGAAAACACACTTGAGATGTCAGCTGAAGGTCAGCCAATATAGACTGGTTTATTTTTGTTCCCACCACTTGTGTTGTGTCCTGTTTATGTGATGTTTGACCTTTGACACCAAAGAGGCTTCCTCAAGAGTGTTTGCTTTTCACCTCAAGGGCAGGGATGAGTAGGGTGGGTTCTTAT